TGGTTTTTCTGTGATCACCCAGGCATTAAGATTTAGGGTTGCAAATATTTACAATGGCCAAGCTATTGTTCCAAATTCTCAGAGGGTAGGGAGTATTCTGCCAGAGCAGCAATACCTAAGATAGTTCCTAAGTTTTTAGGGTTGAGTTTCTTATTTGACACCCTCTTCGGATCCTCCTAGCATTTGCCAGGGCATGAAAACTAAAGCTCAAGTTTACTTGGTTTATCAAGTGGCTTCTGGGTGTTTTTTTTTTGCTTCCTTTCTGGGTTCTCAGTTTGTTTTTTGGCCTGAGAGCACTCTTTTCTTTCTTGACAAATCATTGGTGCATTAAAAGGAAAAAAAAAAGTTCTGCTTTTTCAGCCTGTTTTTTTTTTTTTCATAGCAGGGAGTGGTCAGGGTAATCACTCATGCTGACAGAAATTGAAATGTCAATCATTTTGGTGGTATTTTGCTTTTAGTGGTTAAAGAGCAAGGAGCCCTCACTTTGCTAACCAAAAAGTTGGCAGTTTGAACCCACCAGCTGCTTCACAAAGGATGTGGCAATCTGCTTCCAAACCTTACAGCTTTGGAAACCCTATGGGGGGCAGTTTTACTGTTTTCTGAAGGGTCACTATGAGTTGGAATTAAGGACAGCAGTTTGTCTTTAGTCAGAGTAAAGAAGGTTCTAGGCATTAATTTTCTGCAACACAGAGTAGTTTTTTTTTTTTTTTACTTGTGAAGTTAAAAACCACAGGAAAGCAAGGCAAAGCCAACCATTTAGCTCATAATCATACGTCTACTTAGTATTTGATCACCTACAATGTGACAATGATAGTCACGGAGGTATTTATCAGTACAGCAAAATAGATGAAGTCCTTGCTCTTACACAGCATATATTCTGGGGTGGTGTTGAGGGTAACCAAGTAGCAGCTCGGGGAAGTGTCATTTACAGCCTTTTAATTACTTTTTTGTATTTCACCTTTCACTTAAAATGAAGTGGGAAACCATTAGGTGAGTTGGAGCAATGCTATGTGACTTATGATTGAAAAGAATGTGCCAAGTGCTGTGTGTGAAGACTGCTAGAAGGGAGCAAACAGGAAGACCAATAAACCAAGTAAGAGATGGAGCTTTAAACCGTAACAGCAGTGATGACAGTAGTCAGAAAGCTGACAGAATTGCTATTTGATTAGAAGTGTGAAAATTCAAATTTGATGCCTAGGTTTGGAACCAATGTAACCTAAGAGTTTGCTTTTACCGAAGCCAAGTAAGGTTTGTGTGTCTGTATAAATCAAGTTTTAGAAACCTTAGAAGATGACTCAATTGAGACTTCGTCCTTACAGATGTCAAAAGGTGGATATTGAATAAGCAGCTATATATAGGAATATTGAGTTCAGGGAAGAGATTGCTGGGAGTTAAGTCTCCAAATGATTGATGGTTAATTTTGTCCCTAACAAACCAGGACATGCAAGTACTGTTTGGTACTATTCAAATTTCATATGGTAAACAAAAAATCAAGGTTATGGAGAGGCTGGTTAAGCACTTGGCAAGAGTTGGCTGTTTTGACTATCAAAGGCACCTCAGACAAAAGGCCTGGCAACCTATTTCTAAAATGTCAGACATTGAAAACTCTATGGGGCACAGTTCTCTTACACACATGGAGATGCCATTAAGTCAGAATTGATGGCAACTGGTTTTATTTTGGTGATAGGTGAAACTCAAAGATACGATTTCCTAAGATCATTTTCTACCAACAGGAAAAAAATGATTTTTATAATTAAAAAATAATCCCATTCAGAAATAATGTGTAACTTGGGAAGAGATGATAAACAATGGGGCCTTGTAATGAAAACAGTATTTCTAATATAAAAAAACAATTACCAAAACAATGTAAGTTATTCATAAAAAAAATTCAAAATTAACAATGCAAACTATTCAGCTTCCTTCAATCTTTAAAATTTTAATCTTTTAATGTGTTCCTAACAATGATTCATTTTGTGGCTGTCAAATGTTTTTAAATACAAATTTTTTTACCATTTGTTCTCCATGATATCGAGACCAAAATAGTAGCCACCTTATGTTACATTTAACGTGTTAAATTAGGTAAACACTGCAAACACCATCAACATGGCATCTTACCTTTTCACTGGGGGAGGGTGGTGCTGGTGTTTGCTTAGAACCACCAAATGAAAACTGAGTTCCAATCCTAGTTCAGCTATTCAATGTTTAAGGTGGAAGACTTTGTACTTACTCTTCTAGTAACACTTCCCCACTTGTTTAGTATCTATGTATCCTTCTCCAGAAGCTATCATGCTTGGTAGAGGTCAGTGAAAAGATGACTCTCAATGGAACTGACTGACACAGTCGCTCAAGCACAGCAAAGATTGTAAAGATGGCGCAGAACCAGGCAGTGTTTTGTTCTGTGTACACACGGTTGGTATGAGTCAAGAGCCGACTAGATGGCACCTAACAAGTATCAAGAATAAAGTTAGATCTTAATTATAAATTTTGAACATTCCTAGCTACCGTTTTCCTAATTTAGATACTGTAGGCAGTTAATGCAATTTTAATATTCAAAGTGTAAGAATCAACTTAGTTACAATTCAAAGTACTATGAAATTTGTTAGGTATCAGAAATTTAGTACTTAGGCATGCAATAGAACACATTCTACAAATTAAGCCAAAACCAGTAAGGTCAAGATTACTGGCTGGCTGTTACAAGAAGAGTTTTTTTTTTTTTTTTTTTAAATCACTGCCATCGAGTGGGGTCCGACTCATAGCGACCCCTCCTTGGGTTTTGAGGCGCTATCACTACAAAGGTAAATCTCCAAACCTTCCTTCCGGGGAGTGGCTGGTGGGCTCAAACCTCCAGCCTTCTGGTTAGCAGTCAGAAGCCTTAGGCACTGCGCCACCAGATTTCTAAAATTGGTTCTCCAATGTTGCCATGCATCAGAATCACCTGGAGGGCCTTTTAATATTGTTGGACACCTCTCTCCATAATTCCTGATTGAATATGTGGGTCAATAATCTGCATTTTAAACAATGTCTCAGATGCCAACACTGTTGGGTCTCCAGACTAAGATACCGATGCTCTTGAACTGATTTTGGCTCATATATGGACCATTAAGGACAGTGTAGAACTGCTCCACAGTATTTCCAAGGCTGTAAATCTTTATGAAAGCAGACTGCCACATCTTTCTTCCACGGAGCAGCTGGTAGGTTCAAACTACTAACCTTTCAGTTAACACTAAATTGTTTAACCAGTGCACCACCAGGGCTCCTAAACTTTTGAAAGCCAGCCTAATTCTTCATATACTAGTTTCTTTATAACTAGTCTTTTAAGAAGTTCAAAACTGAGCTCACATATTCAAGTGTAGATTTCATGTGTTAGCTGGAATTACTGAGTAAGACCAAAGTGTCTTTAAACACAGACTTTAATGGTAACAATTTCTTTAAGCTCAATTATCTTTTAACTATTACAAGTCTTATGCAAATGTCACTATTAAGACAATATTAGTGACTTGCACTGGATTCCTCATAAAATAGAAGACAAAATTCACTGAAAGTGTAATTGACAATCATTTAACAGTTTTGTTATGCCAACACAAAAACATGGCTAATTTGAGTCAGCCCCCAAATCACTAACACAGCATGATCAGCATTTTAACTTCAACTAAGCCATTAAAAAAAAGTGAGTGTTTCACTACCCCTGAGACCACTACTTAACTGTGGTTCATACTTTAAAATGTGAGTACACCCACACATGAAAGCGAACTAATCATTGTTTTTCAGGTTTTTTACATTTGATTATCACATTGCAAACTTGCCCAGAAACACAAATTTTAATCATTAAAATGCAAATTTAAGTACCATTAACAGGCCAACTGGACAATAATCCCTATTGGTTAAGACAAACTTTAAGGATTAATTTTAAACTCAATGCATTAAAAGATGTAGGATATAGGCAGAGCCAAAATCAATTCTTAATCTGCTAATACTTCAGTCCTATACGTGGCACAAGTAATGCCAAATTCCTGGGTAGGCTAGGGGAAGGCAAACTTTGGATTTTTTAGGTTTCATTAGAGATGGTCTGAAGTCATGTCCATACATTCAAAAATGTTGGGTTTTCCAGGTACTTTACTGTTCTTTTAAACCTGGAGAAGCCTTTATGGCTTATTCCCTTAGAAGTGGCTTATGAAATATTGCAGAGAGGGAATTGGACTTACCCACTGAATATTATGTGACAATCAATGATTTAAGGAAGTCATCTCTGTAATACCTAAGAACTGTTTAAGGCTAACAAGGTCAATGTGAAAGCCAATTAGGGACCCAGAAGCTCTGACAAGTTACATGTTTTACTCATGGCTGGCTTTCAAGAAATGATATGCCTACTAAAGCTGTGATTTTTAGAGTATAGGAGTCTTACTTTGAAAACAGCCAAACAGCAGTACTTTCTTAACCTGTGGAGCGGTATGTTACGAATTTATCATTCATAATCTGAATTAAAAAAAAAGTCTTAAAAGTACATCTACTTTTAGGAACTACCAATGTTTTTAAAGCATTAAGCATTAGAATGAAAGAATTAACTCACTGGAAAATTGGATAGCTGGATCATTATTTCCCAAAGAACTGCTTGTAACAGAATAAACAGTCAGAATTCTTCAGAAGGCATGCATTTCACTTCCAGTTTAGAGAACAACCTTAAGTCAATAAATCATGTCCAAACTACATATTAAAATGTTTATAAAAATCAAGCTTTAACATTTATTTTATATCTAGCTTACCACATCTGTGTGCAGACAAGGAATGACTGCACATATGTGTAAGCAGTGCAAAAATGTGGAAATGGGGAAAAGTCACAGATGTGCTAAAAATAGAATACAGGACTGTAATAAAGCAATGGATAAAATGAGAATAAGGAGAAAAAAGCAAACTACAGGGTCAGAATTAGGAAAGGTGAAGATAATCCTTTTGTTACTACAGAAATTAAATCAGTAGCACAGATAGCACTTGTCAAACAAAAATCCAATAGCATTGACTTTTATTCATTCATGTTAAAGTCACCTGAAATGATATCTGTTGCATTTAAATGCTCATTAATGTAAATGGCTGAACAAATCCATTTCAATGGATACTCAATATCCCACATAGTAAAGTCACTTCAACACAGCCTCATGACAACTCCCACACCAAAACAGTACTTTATTTTGTAAATTTTGACCCATTATCATTCCCATTTTATGGTTTTTTCAGCTGTCAAGTGTACAAGGTGAAGAAAAATTTTAAACGGGGTGTTGCACCTGGAAAATAAGTTTCTTAAACTCCATATACATGTTTCAAAACTGCTGGGTCCCAAGTCCACCTCTGAACTCTAGGGCTGCCAGTATCGTGTGCAGCATACTAAAGCTACACTATTCGATTAGCTTATTAATTCTGCATAAATCAGGTCAATCAATGTGTCAACCTGTTAACAGACTGTGCACTTTAACTGAACATGGCAAAATATTCACTCTTTTGAACTTTACATCATCATTTGATGTCAAACAATGAAGCAAATCCCAACAGTATATACAAAAACAGCTTTGCATTTACAAAAGATTGTTTCCCATACTGATTAATCCAGGCAGCTAACTCATTGGTTTATGCAACTTTATTGAGGAAAAATAAATCAATTACTAGCAGAGCTATTAGTTGATCACTCATCCATTGACAACTTGCATCATTTATTCAGTGCTATATTAAACAGTGTATTGGAAGATAGATTAACTAACAGCTCCAAGCCTCCTAACAACTTAAATGAAAATTACAAAATGTTTGAGACCCTATTTTGGAATACAAAGGGTGTTTTGACTTCCAATTTCCATTCTCTGTAGAACAAGAACAGGTCATTCCTTTATTGACATGCATAAAATACATCACATTTTCTGTTCTGCTGATGCTATAAATTCAATACCAATTCTCCAGCCACATCAGTTATGAGCATAAAGTATATCATGTAACCTCAAACCTCTGACAGTAGAAGGCTTAAACAAAAATGGATGCTGCTAGAGTAATGCTGTTTCCTTTGATGTGACAACTGAGCATCCATCTCCCTCCCCCTCGGATGATTTCTTCAGCATGTTAGAGCAGTGAGGAATGGTTTTAGTCTCATAACCAAGTTAGAGTGAAGACATTGGCCACATAATACACATGCTCCATTTTTTTTTTTAAAAACTCTGAATCTTGGGCAACTGTTCTCTTGTAACTACTTTACAGTTTCTAAAAGCAGTTATTGTCCAAAGCTGGAAGAACTTCAGTCTTCTCAGATGAGCATGTGAATGAATGGAGGGAGGTAAACAAAAAATAAAATTTAAAAAAATGAGGTCTGATAGGGGAGCAGCCGGATAAGAAAATCAAAAAAGGAACAGTAATTTAAAGTTTATTCCAGCTATAATGCAGGTTATTCTGACTTTAAGGTAGCATCACATGGCATACTTCTGAGTCCATTCCCGAGATATTCTGTTATATCTGTAAATAAAGAAGAGGTTATTTTAAAATTTAAAATACAGTTAAAGAATTCTTAATACTTAAAAGAGGAGAAAAGATTTCTTTTTCACCACCAGATTCATAATGGAGTTCCTCTCTAACAACTATGATTAGAGTAAAAGCCAACAGAAGAGAAGCCAACAAAGGCACTGGGACTCAAAGCAATGTGAGTGATGAGAGCTCTAAATTCTAAAAGCAGTTTATTTTAATAAACACAAGGAAGTGGCGCTGACTGAGGCTAAAACCAAAGACCTTTTCTCTCTCCTACCACTGAGCCAACATTTTATTAGTAATAGTAACTCTGAAATTACATAAAATATTCATTTTGACATGTTAGTATTTTTCAAATTATTTTATATTTCAGCATGGACTTATGTTAGAATAGCACACACATTCTGTACCTCAATTAAAATGTCCATCTAAACCAGAAAAATTAGTTTTTTTTTTTAAAAAAAAAAAATCTAAATTCTAGACTGAGAAAAATGCAATTTACTTAGTGCCCTGGGTATTACTAGAAGAGAAAACGTCTTCAAGACTTAAGGCACAAAAAAATCAGTTAAAATACTGGGGAGGATGCTCTTCAATACAAGGTAGGTTTGAGTGCTGTCGATTAGTATTAATCTACGATTAGTATTAATCTACGTGTCTCACTTTCAAAGTGTGACCGGAGTTAAGCCTCAGCAGACTTGTTGAATGGAAATGGCTAGAAGTGAAAGCTGGGTATCATTGTTAAAAAGACCAACAGGTAATTCACACATAAGCAAGACTATTATTGAGGAAAATCACTAATACTGATAAATGCTATCAATTTCTCTCTGAATTATACCCATGCCACAAGCTATTTACCCCAACAACAATAAAAGTACAGTGATAAGATTAACCTTAAGAAGTAAATTTACAGCAAAGAACACAGGAGAACTTTCAAATTTGCATTTACAGTTTGAACTTAAAAAATATGAACTAGCTTATTTTCAAACCAAGAATCAAATAAACTACTTTCTAAATTTTAAGAAATACACATTTTTTCTATTAATAGTTATCTCATTTACGGCTATCCCTTCAAAAAGCCAGCACTTAAAACAGACTTCATTTAGCATACAAGGAGCCACAAAGTATAGCTGACAATAATGCATGCTTGTCAGTAATAAACATTTAGTTCAGATGCTTAAGCTTAAAAGTGTTTTTTCCTTTTAGTACTACCTACTGGCAAAATTTGGCCTAAATTACCACATTCTGTAATATACTGAATGAATGTAAGAGTCTTTAGTTAAAATTTAAATATCATGTAGTTTGAAAAAGATACTTCTTAAATTTCCATTTCTTACTCAAACCAAAACCAAACTCACTGTCATCCAGTCAGTTCTGACTCATAGCAATCCCCAAAGGGTTTCCAAGGCAATAAATCCTTCTAGAAGCAGACTGCCTTATCTTTCTTCCGACCTTTTGGTTAGCAACCAAACGCCTTAACCAAATTGCTTTGCCATGCAACAATATTTAAGCAGAAACTACTACTCCTACACTTTCAAGCTAATCAGAGAGATCAAGCAGTTAAATAGTTTGCAGAAAACTGCCAAATCTGTTACCTTTTGTTAGTTAATACAGTGCCTTAAAACATGCAGCACTCAAGTGCTGGCAGTACCATGAATAAGCGCACCATAGAGTGCAGATCCTCTTACCCTACAACATAGCGTATTTCTCTGTCCACTCTCTTGCTAACCTATTGTACCTAATTGAACAAGTATACTTAGCATTAATATAACATATGGAAGTTATAATGGTGAGGTCGAACATAAAGGTAATTTAAATAGTTGGGAAATTTGTATCAATTTTATTTTCCAAAAGTATAACTGGGGTAAAGAATTTTTCTTCCCTAAAATGTCATAATTTAAGAAACACTGTGTTTAACATATTAGAAAAAGAAAGTATTTTAAAGGGGTTACTCATCATATAAGCTAAAACCTTATGATTAAGTGATTTTTAAACAACATTTCAATTAACTAGCTTTCTGGTAAATTTCAACTATAATCTTACCAGAAATTAGCATCAAGTCTTCTTGACACTGTCATAACGTATAGCAGAATATAAACTCAACTCATTAAGTAAAACCACTTTTTCATGTCATTTCCCTTAAACTAGTTTAGACTTACTTATCTCTGTCTGTTTTATAGATCCGTGCAATCTCTGGCACTAGGGGGTCATCTGGGTTCGGATCACATAGCAGTGAACAAATGGATAAAAGAACTGCAAGGAAACAAATGTCTGTTATCCAACATCTAACATCAGGATAAGTAAAAGTTATCAAAGAATATTTTAAAACACGTATTGTAAACTTCAATCCTCAAAAGGACTGTTATTAATTTATATCCTCATTTCTAAAAGACAAAAAGTATTAGAGATTTTGCATCACAAAACAGAACCAAGAAACCAAACCAAACTCACTGCCATCAAGTCAATTCTGACTCATAGTAAACTCCCCTTGGGTTTCTGAGGCCGTAAATCTTTATGGAAGTAGACTGCCCAGTTTTCATTTCACAGAGTGGCTGATGGGTTTGAACCACCAACCTCCTGGTTAGTAGTCAAATGCCTTAGGCACTAGGCCACCGGTGCTCCTTCTCAGAATAGAATTCCTAGTAAATAAGGACTGCTAACAATAGAGCTCTGCTGGCAAGTTCAGTACTGACTAGATACTTTTAAAAACTACTGCCAAACTCAAGAGATTCCAAGGTATCCAAATAGTGACATATTCATTTATTCCATATTTTTAGGTAGGTAGCATTAAAATTTAAGTAATCAAGAGTTAAGAAGATCTAGGGAACATTTATGCCATCTGTTATTCTTAACTATAAGGCATGATAAAATATCTGTTCTGCCCTGCCCTGGTGAACTTTCTCACAAAAACTCCGTACACTTCCCTCCCCTATGAAATGTTTTGTCTCCTGTTCAAATGATCCACAGTGGTATGACATCCTTATGTATTAACAGAAGCCATATCCCCAAGCCAAAAAAAATCCATGGCTTTCAAGTTGATTCTGACCTATAAGCAACCCTACAGGACAGAGTAGAATTGCCCCACAGGGTTCCCAAGGCTGTACATCTTTATAGAAGCAGTGTGCCACATACATCTCTAGCAAGTGGCTGGTGGGTTCAAACTGCTATACTTTCCATTAGCAGCCGAGCACTTTAATACCGTATCACCAGGGCTCCTTATATCCCCAAGAACACTGTCTAAAGTGGAAGAATGTCAAAATCTCTCTAGTACTGGCACTTTAGCTCCATTTCTTAAACCCTTATCTGTTCAATGTATCAACTCAGAAAATGCCAAGCATCGTAAGGCACATACTGCATGCACAGTGAGTGCCTACTAGGTGATAGTCACACCATGCAGGGTGTTACACAAAAAGCATTATCATAAGAGACAAAGCATTATCATTCTTTTTAGAAATTAATTAACTATGACAGCAGCAAATAAAATTTTAAAGTGTATAGGAGAGGAGCATATATAAAATTACAGAGTAAGAGACACCTGGCTATACAGTAGCTCAGAGTGTTTCAGTTGTAATGCTTCAGTTATGACTGCTAGTTGATGAATTAGCAAAATATGACTCCCACAGAAACAAGTTGTCCAACAAAAATTTCAACCTGCACCTCTAGAAATATATGCTGCAGTATACAGCTTCTCCAAAATGGTTAAAACACTTGGAATTGGGTACTTAAGTATGAGGGCCTGATTTGAAGAGAAACTAATTGGAATATATGTAAGATGGTGAAAAAAAAGGAAGTCTAAATTTATGTCATATTTTAACACTTGAAAGAAAGTAGTATTTTTTTTTTAAAATGTCCCCTTCCCCCAAAAATGATTCTACTCAAAAGTTTGGGAAATACTACACAGCCTCTCTAGGAGATTCAAATGCACTGTATTAACAAATATCTCAAACACCAACATAATTAGCAACATTAATAGTCTAATTCTGTATCTGAAGAATACTAATACCAAAAATTGAAAATTATTATTAGAAGGCAGATTTCCTTTCCCATTAATATTTTTGTTTTATGTGTGGGTAATTCTATTTGTGGGGTAAAAAGTGATGTAATATTACATAGTGGATCCTTATTACAAGGAGAGGACCAGAAATGATATAGACATTTTTCAAAATCTATCATTTTAGACTGTTATCAGACACAATCTACCATACTCACCTAACACCTACTCAAAGCCTTTTTATTTTAAAACACAAGAAGCCAAAAAACAATGTTTCCCACAAATGGAAACCTCAAGATTTAAAGACTCTATTATTCATAAAGTTTAGCTATGTTATACCATGCTAGTCAAAAGGCAACAAGTAAGCCTTGTTCTCATTACTTCTCACGTAATGAGAAATACAAGTGGCCTGGGAATGAAAACTGTACAGACAACCTATTAAAATAAACTCTGCCGTATTTGTGATAAATTTAACACAGGTAAAACGACCACCAACCACACTCAACAATTTCTATTTTAACTTCTTCTCACAAAATCTCTTTAATCAATGCTGCCAAAGCAGCAAAATGATATAAATTACTTCTCATTCCTTCCCTACCTCATAAACTAAATTGGCAGGAAGATAAAAGATTCAGATTATTAGGTTCAAAATTTAAACTCTTGACTAAATAAATAAATAAATAAATAAATAAGAGCACCTTAAAACTTTCTTTAAAGATATTTACCTTTAGAAATAGTTAAAGCAGGAGACCACTGTGATCTTAGAATATCGAGACAAATGCTGCCATTACTGTTAATATTTGGATGATAAATTCTTGTTGTAAATGCAACCTAAAACAAAAAACGTTTAGGTATTTTTCTCAAATAAAAACAAGTATTCCTAAACTTAAGTAAATCAGTTTTAACAAGGTTTAGAAAATTAAGACACAATTTAAGAAAATAAAACGGCTAATGCCTAATTTACACATAAAAACAAAGAGCACATAATATAAAAATTGGTTTTGAAATTCTGACCAAAATCTTACCACCTTCTCTCTTTTTAATTAAAATGGAAAATATGACTTTGGGGCAAAAGATTTTAATATCAGTGACATGGAGTTAACACTGGCCTCACCACACTGAGTACTGAAGAGCAATTTCAAAGATATTTAAAATACATTCATTACAAAATAAGAAACTTATGTATGCATCCAAAATTTATAGACAAGTTCATTTAACTTTAAGGTATCATTAAGTTAAATATGTGTTTGAGTCTGTATTTCTAGTGTACATAAATGACAAACTTGGACACAGGCAGTCCCCAGGTTTCAAATGTGTGACTATAAACCACCTGTGGTTGTTGTTATGTGCTGTCAACTTGGACAGACTCACAGAGAACCCTCCTTGGGTCTCCGAGGCAGTATCACTACGGAAGTAGATCATCCAATCTTCCTTCCGAGGAGTGGCTGGTGGGTTTGAACTGCTAGCCTTCTGGTTAGCAGTCAAGTGCCTTAGGCACTATGCTACCAGAGCTCCATAAACCACCCCTACTGACTCTTTAAAGCAGGGATTCCTATTGGTTCTGTCAAGGCCTATGAAACACTAAGACTTGAATTTTTACCATTTGAATGATTTATCAGGTAACAGAAACAGAAAAATTACAGGTCTAAGCAATGAACAGGAGACTCAGGAACATTCAAATTGGTGGTTAGCTGTCATTTTCTGAGCACAGAGCCACCTGAGTGGCTCTGAGTGGGGCAGAGCTATTTCAAATCCCGCTTTAACAATATGGAAAAATTTGTGTTCGCTCTGAAATGACTGAACCTGAAGTCACTCAGAAATGACTATTCACGACAAATTCATCATCACAATTATCACCACTTGCTACAGTTGCAGCTTTTTTATCACTTGAAAAGGCTTCTTGCACTAAAAATCACAGCTATCAAGTCAATTCCTACACACTGAGACCCTATAAGACAGAGCAGAACTGCTCCATAGGGTTTCCAAGGCTATGAATCTTTATGGAAGCAGACTGCCTCATCTTTCTCCTATGGTGTGTGGCTGGTGAGTTTGAACCACTTACTTTGGTTAGCACCTGAATGGTTTAACCACTGCACCACCAGTGCTCCTTTTCTTGTATTAAGGCTAAGAAAGAACTATATATATATCTGCTCTGAGTGACCTACAATTTCTTTTTCCATATTGTTAAAGCGGGGTTAGGAACAGATCATGTTTGTAACCCAGGGACTATCTGTACCACACAGCTCACCTAAAAGAACTGTTTTGTTGCACTATAACACGACAGTGAAGAGGAATCCCAAAGACAGCTACAGTGAAGTGCCGCCAATGCTCTATGTCTAGTATCTCCATGATTATTCATACAGGTGTTGTTGTTGTTGTTTGCCGTCGAGTCGGCCCTGACTCATAGCGACCCCTCCTTGGGTTTCCGAGGCAGTATCACTACGGAAGTAGGATTGCCCAACCTTCCTTCCGAGGAGTGGATGGGGGGTTTGAACGGCCAGCCTTCTGGTGAGCAGTCAAGTGCCTTAGGCACTAAGCTACCAGAGCTCCTATTCATACAGGTGAAGAATGTATATTAATAGCTCTGAGAAGTCAAAGACCATGTGCTTTTAATACCTGTAAACAGTCACCTCAATGCCTAACTCAAATTCTGATAAATTTATTTGTTGTTGTTGTTATGTACTGTCGAATCAGACCCAACCCATAGTGACCACTCCTTGGGTTTCTGAGGCAGTATCACTATGGAAGTAGATTGCCCCATCATCCTTCCGAGGAGTGGCTGGTTGAGTTTGAACTGCCAGCCTTCTGGTGAGCAGTCCAGTGCCTTAGGCACTATGCTACCAGAAATTTTATTTAGTTATATATATTAACCCAAACACCAACCTAGACAAAATGATTAGTCTGACAAAACTGCAACAGAAACACAGTATGTGCAAATGTATATGGAAGGTGAACATTTGATATTTATTATGTATGAGGCAGTAGGGTCAATAACCCAAATCTATGTAAGTGTTAAAAAAAAAAAAAAAAAGCCTGTACATAGTATATTCCAGTCTTGCAACTCTAAGGATAAGGCATATCTTATAGCCATTTGCAAAGTTCAAATCCAAGACCAGATCTTAAGTAAGGGTGAAGTGTTAGAATTATGCATCACTGACTCAATTTAACATATATAACCAGCCTCAATTTCTATGAATGTTCTGAAATAAAGCATAAACCTATACTAATAGATTTTGGGGAAAAATACTTGCCTTAGGTGGTTTGAAGGGGTAGTCTGTAGGAAAATGAATTGTCAAAAAGAATACACCGCCTTGATATGGGCTGTCATTCTGTGAAAAGAAAAATCTATTGAACACTGATATTTAAATATTTATGGTGATGAATTTCAATTTATTTAGCTCTCAATTTACATGAAATCAGTTTTGAGAAAAATTACTAGAAACATTAGAGATTTTGAACCCCACATAGGCAAAAGTATACTGAGCGAAGTCTACGCACAGCATTATGTATAAAACTAATTTGCAAATAAAATCTTGTGTTTGTAGAATATTTCTTCTCACTATAGGTCAGCTATGTGCAAATGGCATTGCCCCTACAGGCTGTATCAGGTTAATACCCAAGTACCTTCAGCAGAGAAGCAGAAAAGTAATAAAGTAGATCTAAAAAGATTAATTCTCACCCACTCCCCAAAATTGTGATTTAAAACCATGAAGGTTTCTTCTTCCAAAGTATACTGGATTATCCAAAGAAAATCATTATGAATACCAAACCAAACCTACTGCTGTCTAGCTGGTTCGATGTGCAGTGACCCTTACAAGATAGAGTAAAATTGGCCCACAATAGGGTTCTACAATAGGGTTTGTATATCCTACAATAGGGTTTCTAAGGCTATAATCTTTACGGAAGCAGAGCACCATGTATTTCTACTGTGGACTGACTGGTGGCTCAAACGGCTGACCTTTTGGTTAGCTGAGTGTTTTAACCACTGCATGACAAGGGCTCCTAAATACAAATATCAGATTGTAAAGTTTTGGGAAAAGTATCTAAGATGTTTGCATTTCCATTTAAACAACAACAAAAAAAGTTAGAGCAGTACTTTTTCCCTCTTTGCCAATTTGCTATTACAATTTATGAAATTCCTCAATAAATACTGTACAATGACAGTATCATAGCGACCCCTCCTTGGATTTCCGACTCAGTATCACTACAGAAGTAGATTGCTCAATCTTCCTTCAGAGGAGTGGCTGATGGGTTTGGACCACCGACCTTCTGGTTAGCAGCCAAATGCCTTAGGCACTATGCCACCAGAGCTCCTGGTACAATGATAATATAAACAAACCTTAAGAAAACATCTTGCTAGAAAATTTACATGTTAATTTAGCCAACACCAAGAAATACATATCACTTTTCCTATTTTACAGTTGAATAAAACAGAGACATAGCTGTATATATGTGTATATAAAATGGCAAATGACAGAATAAAAATTCAAACCCAGGTTCTTCTGAAGACCATGTAATATGACGTTGATCAAAGAAAATGATGACAAAAGATATAGGCCTACTCAAAGATTTTAAAATAAGAGTTATAAATAAATTATGAAACTGCCTAACTGCCTGTAAAGACATGTTTTAAAACTTGTAGTAAAACTGGGTTATTATCATTATTATATCCACTCCAGAGAGACAACTGAATAAAGAACACAAGCCTTTTTCAAAACACCCATTTCTGAGTGTCAGACAAATAAAAATGAGGTATTTCAAGAATACAGTTTTACAAAAGAAGCTAATACTGAAGATAATCTCCAACACTGAGGCTCTTTATAAAACCCAACAACCTAGTTCTGTTTTTAAGCTTTCCTTTCTAGCTCCACAAAATCAAGTAATATGTCTGACTGCTTCTGAGTAAACAGCAATCTGTTGTTGTTATGTGCCGTGTACTCGGACCTGACTCATAGCAACCCCTACTTAGGTTTCCCAGGCGTTATCACTACAGAAGTAGACAAAGTCAAATTTCCCTTCACTTGTTCAATAAAATAACTTAAGGGATGAAAAGCGTATCAATGTTATAAATTTATACAAGTATCTCAACAAATCAAAGAAGAAAAACTGGAAGAACCAGAGGTAATCAAATTAGGTCATGTAAAAAAACAAAAAACAAAAAAACCCTGAAGCATTCAAAAGTTTACTACAAACTGATAGCTAACAGAAATACAACAAAGAAAATGTAAATAAGGAATACTTTCATCAATAATCTGACCAGAATTTAAGAAATTCAGAAATTATATGGGATCTCTAAAAACTTTCCTCTGATTTTATTCTCATCAAAGTTGCTCCTTTCTCAGTGTCTATACTCCACCTTTATGGCAACCATAAAATGTTGGTGTTCCTCCACTTCTACCTTCTGTGTCTATCTTCTGCCACAGACACTGCTAACTCTCAAATCTTTCTCTAGTTTACTTACTCACTCCAGATACATATATTCAAATGTCTACTGAATATTTCTGCTTGGATGTCTCACATGTCTAAAATTCAAACGTGTGGTCTCCTCAAATACATTTGTCCTATCAGTAAACCATTCAAGACACAAACCTGGCCTCGTCCTTTATTCTTCCTTTCTCATCTCCTTGGAGTCAAAGTAGTTATCAAATCTTAAAGATCCTTAAAATCTCTCAAATTGGCCCCTCTGCCTTTATACTCACCCACTGCCAGTAGTGAAGGTCAATATGCCTTTTGACTATGTTATCGCAATGGGTTGCATGTGATATTAATGATAATAGTGTTATCATTAACATCACACACAAGTAAAATTTTGCTAAAGAATTCAGAAACAATTGGAATATTACATCAACAGGGAACCATCAGAAATTCAAGCTGCAATCAGAAGACAACATGAAATAAGGGATATTCATTGCTGACATCAGAAGGATTGTGGCTAAAGCAGGGAGTACCAGAAAGATGTTTATCTGTGTTTCACCAACTATGCAAAGGCATTCAACTATGCGGATCCTAACAAATGACAGCAGACATTGCTAAAAATGGAAATTCCAAAACATTTAATTGGGGCTCATGGAGAATCTGTACACAGACCAAGAGACAGCTGTTCATATAAAACAAGGGGGTATCACTGCATGGTTTAAAATCAGGAAAGGTGTGTGTCAGGGTTTATCCTTTCACCATACTTATTTAATCTAAATGCTGAGCAAATAATCTGGGAAGCTAGACCATATGAAGAATATGGCATCAGGACTGGGGGAAGACTCACTGCAACCTATGATATGCAGATGACACAACTTTGCTTACTGAAAGTGAAGAGAACATGAAGCACTTACTGATCAAAATGAAAGACTACAGCCTTTTAGTATAGATTATAACTCAACATAAATAAAACAAAAATCCTTACAACTAAAGCAATAAGCTCTTGGTGCACAGGTAATAGCCCAGCTTATAGACTGAGACAGACTAGGAAGAGGCCATCCATTTCTCAAAGAATTGGCCAGGGAAAACCTTATGAATAAGCAAAGAAACACTGTTTGGTACATTACCGCGCAACTCTAGGAATAGTCCGTTTAGGCTAAAAGGCTATCAAAATAGGACTGGGAAAGAGCGGCCACATCTGAGGAAATCCAGCCTTACTCATATGGAAAAGAGAAAGCTTTCAAGACCTTCATTTGCTGATGTGGCACCACTCAAAT